CGATGCCCCTCCTTCGCTCCCCGCCTCTGCGCCGCGGCGCGCTCCGTCTCCGGAGCCGACATGGGCGCCGCCGCGTGGGCACTGCCGCCTCTGTCGCCCCTGTCGCCCCTGCCGCTGCGTGTGCCTCTCCTGCTGCTGCTTCTGCAGCTCCCGGGGCTGCCCGGGGCCTCCTGGGACCCGGCCGGTTACCTGCTCTACTGCCCCTGCATGGGTAAGGCCTTCCGATCCCTCTGCTCAAATGGAGAAACGGAGGCCGGGAAAGGAGAAGCCACTTCTCTGAGGCGCCCAGAGACACTTTGACAGGTCCAGGAGAGAACCCCAGAGCGGGCCAGGGCCTGCTCTTCTCTCTGCCCTAGTTGCAAGGGCACAGCGGGGCCACCGTGTTCAACCTTCCATTTGACAGATGAGAAAACTGAGGCTGAGAGAAGTTACTGATTTGCTCGAGGTCAAAGCCAGCCCGGAGTCCAGCAAATGGAGTTGGTGGGGCAGGACTTATGTCACTGACCCACGCTGGCTTCAGGCGATTCTTTCATTCACTCAACAGATATTTATGGGGCACATGTTCTGCGCCGGGCCCTGTTCTCCGTGCTGGGAATAGGGCGGTGAATAAATCCCATATCCTTGTACAGACTTTATTTTAGTTGGGGAAAACAGACAATAAAAGATAAACATTAAAGCTAAGTAGTTACATAGTTTCTTAGAAGATGATGAATGCAATGGGGAAATAAAATCGAGCAGGCTAAGGGAGAATCTAAGGGCCAACTGAGGAGTACAATTTAAATGGGGTGGTGGATCATCATTGTAGATCATTCTTTCTTAAAACCCTCCAATGGCTTCCAGACTCCTGACCATGGCCTTCAGGGTCCTGCATGATTTGGTCCCCGCCAGTCATTTGCACAACTCCATTCTCCCCCATCCTCCAGCTGCAGCCACGCTGATCTCCTTTCTGTCCTCACACATGCTCAGGTCCTCCAGCCTGTACTATCACATGTCCTATTCCGTATACCTGGAATGCCCTCCCTTCACTTCTGCCTGACCAACTCCTTCCAATCCTTCAGGTCTCAGCTTAAATGTCACCAGAAAGGACTTCACTGACTTGTACCATAGTAACCTTCTCTTCAGTATTCCCCATCACCAAACTTTCATTTCTTTCTTGCAGTTATCCAAATTTATTCTTATGTTTGCATGTTTAGTGTTTCCTCAGCTGAACTGTGAGTGCCTTGAGATGCAGAGACCTTGTCCTTGCTCACTCCTGTATCCCAGCTAGCACAGAGCCTGGCACATTGTGGCCTCTCAATAATATTTGTGAAATGAATGAATGGATGCCATGCTGAGGATAACAAAAAGAATCAGACAGGATCCTTGCCCTAAAGTATTCACAGGCTGAGGAAACAGCCAGTACAAAGGCCAGGAAGTAAGAAAAGACGTTTGAGGAAAAGTGAAGAACTTAAGTAACTCAAATCCAAGGTGGAAGTCAGAGGAGGAAGAGTGAATAAGGCAAGGGGTTGGTGAAAGGATCCTAGTGAATGAGGTATTGGAGTTTGCACCTTCGTGTGCAAATGAATGGAGATAGAGGTGGAAGGGCACTCCTGGCTGAGGGAACAGCAAGAGCAAAGGCATGGGATGGGAATGGGAATTTTAGAGCATGCTGGGGAGACAGCAAGGAACCTGGAGTGGCCAAGGCAGGAGCAAGGCCTGAAGGGCCTTGAATGTCAGACTCAGGAGTCCAGACTAGCTCTCCTTTGTGTCCTGGCCCTCCCACCCCTAGCTCTTTCTCAGCCCTGCATGTCCCATGCCCTAGGTGCCCCAGGCCTCACATCACCCCCAATGTACCATTTCCAGGGCGCTTTGGAAACCAAGCTGATCACTTCTTGGGCTCCCTTGCTTTTGCAAAGCTGCTGAACCGTACCTTGGCTGTACCTCCTTGGATTGAGTACCAGCATAACAAGCCTCCCTTCACCAACGTGAGTACTTTCTTTGACCTTGGCCCTTATCCACCCTCTCCAGCCTTGCTTACTTCTTGATCCCCAAGTCCTTCTCTGGGCTTTACCGTCCACTCCTCTGAGCTTGTCCTACACCCCATCCAGAAATGCTTTCCTTGAATAACAATGGCTGACACTTATCCAGCACCTGCTGTGTGCTGGCATTGTTCTGAGCTCTGCATGAGGATTAGCTCATTTCTCCCTCATTACATCCCTATGAGGAATCTTGGGTTTAGAGAAGTTAGGTAACTTGCTCAAGATTACACAGCATGTGAGTAGTAGAGCTGGAATTCAAGCCCATGTCTGTCTCACTCCAGAGCCTGTAACTTAAACCTAAGGCTTCTGTTTCCAGCCCTGATTGGTCCCACCCTCTGTGCATTCCATTAATCAAAACTTATATCAGTTTTTAAGGAGAAACTGAAGCACAGGTTAGTTAATAACATGTCCAACCCAGGCAGACTGACTCTAGCACCGCCTCGCACCCCATCAAGGGGCTCTCTTGGCACAGTGATGCTTAGCATCCTCTAATTCCTTGTTTATAATTTGTGTCCTCCAGTAGCCCTGCATCTGTCTTTGTTCACATTTTATCTGCAAGGGCCTGGCAGTAGGAACTTAATTAATATTTGATGAATTGACGTGGAAAGTTTTGAATAGACATCAGGAATTATACTTAGTATGTACAAAACCCTTTATTTCTTTCTCATAGCTTTTTTTCTGCATAGGTTTTATTTTTTTCTTTGCATACCTGTATTTAGAGAGGCTAACAGAGGTTAAAAGCCAGAGTACCTGAGATAATAGCTTAGCTTGGCTTGGCTACTTACTAGTTGTGTGGCCTGGGCAGGGTACTTGACCTCTTTATGCCTCAGTTTCCTCATCATTAAAATAGGCTGGTAATAATTGTTGCTACCTTTCATGGTGAAGATTGAATCAGTTAATGATAATAACATGCCTTGAATGTCGTTGCGTGCCTTCCTTTTAGAGTGAACTGAGCTCATCAGTGTAAAGAGCCTAGGATACAGGAAGTCCTCAGTTACTGGGAGCAGTTGATGTTCTGATTTTTATGCACTCAGTGTTACTCTTTAGACATTGCCCATCTGTCTTCCTCTGGCTTGCTTGCTGTCTGTCTCCTTGCCTTCTCAGCCAATTGTCTTCCTGAGTCTCTAATTCCTTGCTCTCTATGGGTTACTCATCCTGCTCCAATTGAGCTCCCCTTCCCCACTATGATTATTCTCATTGAGGTCACACGGGACCTCATGGTGTGACTTCTTCCAAGTTCTTGCCTATACTTCTATTGTGGCACTGAGCATCCTGTACCCATCTCTTGTTACAAAGTGCAAGAACTTCTCTAGGGCAAATAGCTAGAGGTGGAAAGTATGTTTTAAATGATACTAGATACTGACAGATTGCATCCCAAAGTAGTTGCTCCAAAATGTACACTTCTTCTATGAGAGTGCCCATTTCCCCACATCCTTTCCAACAGTTAAGATTAAGCTTTTATATTTTTGCTGGTCTTATGAGTAAGAAGTGTTGCCTTGTTATAATTTGGTGTGTGTTGGGGGTGGATGTGGGTGTGGGTGTGGGTGTGGCTGGTATGGGGATCCAAACCCTTGACCTTGGTGTTATAACATTGCACTCTAACCAACTGAGCTAACCAGCCAGCTCTGTAATTTGCTTTTTCCTAATTACTGGTGAGGTTGCATATTTTTTGAGTGTATTGGCTATTTGGGTTTCCTTTGCTGCAAGTTGTTCACCCCTATCCTTTGCCCATATTTTCTCTTGGCATTATTTGCCTTTATTTCTTACAGATTAGCAGGCATTTTTAAACACAAGGGATATTACTGTTTGTTCTTTAGTTTGCAGATATTGTCTCCCAGTTTATCTCTATCCTAACTTTGGTGTCTTTTGACAAAAGTTTTTCATTATCATGTAGTCCAAGCTGTCTGGGTCTTAGAAGTGTATGGTTTTAATAAAAGTCTCCAGAGTGGCCACTGGGACAGTGAGAAGAGAACTCTGACCCTTCTTTTCCTCCTTTTCCTGTAGCTCCATGTGTCCTACCAGAAGTACTTCAAACTGGAGTCCCTCCAGGCATACCATCGGGTCATTAGCTTGGAGGACTTCATGGAGAAGCTGGCCCCCACCCACTGGCCCCCTGAGAAGCGGGTGGCGTACTGCTTTGAGGTGGCAGCCCAGCGAAGCCCTGATAAGAAGACGTGTCCCATGAAGGTGGGTCCTGTGGGTCTGGGAACACTTTCTGCCAGTTCCCTGTCCTCTAGGCCCCTGAGACTATGTGATAGCAATATGTGGGGGAAGGCACCACAGGGCTTAGAGTAGAAAGATGGAGATTTAAGTCCATTTCTGGCATTTGTTAACAGTGTCACCTTAGGCAGAAGACTTTGCTTTTCTGAGCCTTTATTTCTCCTTACAAAATAGAGATGCCAGTCCCTGCTCTGTCTCATAAAGTGTCATGAGGGCAGTATAAGAGTGCTTGTAAACTGTAAAGTGCCACATCAGTAATAACAACTAATACTCATGCAGCACTTACTATATGTCAGGTAACATGCTAAGAACTTTATGCTTATTAACTCATTTAATCCTCAAACTGCTCCATGAGGAAAGTACTAATAATGTTCCCATTTTATAGAGAGAATACTGAGTATCGCACAGAGAGGTTCAATATTTTGCCCAAAGTCACACAGCAAACAAGTGGTAGATCTGGGATTCAACCCCAGGTAATTTGGCTCCATTAACAACCCTTGTAACTTCAGTAACTTCTCAGCAGGTAAATGAGAAGCTGTCATATTTTGTTAGTGGAAATTTGTAAATTTCTGGCACTTTGGGAATAAGACAATCCCCAAATATGTCTTTCAGTGCATATGCTAAAGTCTGGGGAGAATGGTTAGAAGTGCTGTGAAATTTGAGAAAGAAGAGTTAGCTTACAGCCCCAACACTGCCCTCACTTGCTGTATGATCTTGGGCAAGTGTCTTATCCTCTATGGGCCTTGGTTTCCATCTTGAAAATTAGGGCATTAGATTAACTGGTCTCAAAAATCTTTTGAAGCTCTAGTCTATGGTTCCAAGTCCAAGGTCCACTCCTCCACAGAACCCCAACAATGTTTCAGGTTTAGTGGGATGTAGCATGTGAGCAGAACAGACTCCTTCTGTGGTGAACATCTGCTAGAAACCAGAATGGAAGCTGAGCCACTCTCCTTAGCCCCCAGCCCAGGAATTACAAAGTGACATTTCTACCAGGCCATCCTATGAGGATGTTTTAGCCTGAGTCAAATCACCCAGGTTTCCTCCTCTTACAGTTCCTTGACCCAGATGGCTTTCTCTCCCTGCAAGTAAGCCATCTACCATTCTCTTTCTACAGGAAGGGAACCCCTTTGGCCCCTTCTGGGATCAGTTTCATGTGAGTTTCAATAAGTCGGAGCTTTTTACAGGCATTTCCTTCAGCACCTCCTACAAAGAACAGTGGATCCAGAGGTACTTGGAGGGGCAGCATTGCTGGGTTTAGGGGAGGGGCATGGGGCTCACGGGCATTCAGAACTTTCCTGGCCCTCATCCCCTCTACCCCACCCTGATGTATGAGACCAAAGGTGCTGGCGCTTTGTCTGTTGAACTTGGGATTCTGTATGATCTGCTCCCGTCTCAACGCCTGACACAGTGGGACGTTGACCTGCCACGAGTTTGAGCAAGAGTTTATTGGCTGATAAGGGATGTCATAAAAAGAACATCATGCAGTCACATGAGTCTCAATTTCCTCCTCTAGGCGTGAGAATCACCCCCCTGTTACCTTCCTCTTCACAAGGTGAAAATTGGAAGCAACTTCTAGAGAAGAACAACTGCAGGTGCAGACTGAGAGATGATGTCATCCTGATAATTATTGGATGTACTATATTAGTTGCACTCCAGTAGGCCCTACTAAAAAAAAAATAGGTTAGCAGGGCATAGGCACAGGCTGTGAAATATTTATAAAGTGTCTGTCATGTGTGAGACATAGTACTCAGAGGCCAAAGGTGATATATAAAAATGAGGAATGCCCAGCTCCAGTCTTCAGGGAGCCACAGTCTAGTTCTGATGATGATATCTAAAATAGTGCACTTGCTCTCAATGCTATAGCATGGCAGGGAAGATCATGGGCTTAGAAGTCAGACTTGGGTTAGGGGGTACAAGGAGCATATGAATTCACATGTGGTCACAGAACTTGGCATTTCATAAGCCAAAGATAGACTACTGAAGAGAAATGAGCACAGACTCAGGAGTAAGACAGTCCTGAGCTCTGGCCCAGCTTTACCACTTTCTCAGGTGACTCTGAATAAGCCACTCCAACCATCAGGCCCCAGTTTCCTCCTTGATTTAATGGAAAGAGCACTAATGGTATCTGCCTCCTAGTACATAAAGTGCATGGCTCATAGTAAGCAGCCAACCAGTGTTGGCTGTCACTATTTATTATTCATTGTTACTTATTTAAGCCTTTGAGAAATTTCATGAAGTGGATATTATTGTCAATTTCTATTTTACAAGCAAGGAAACTGAGCTCAGTGAAGTTAAATAACTTGCCCAAGGTCATAGAACTGTTGACTGGGCAGCTGGGATCTATATATAAATCTTTAATAAATAATAAGAGCTAATATTTATTTCGTGTCTACTATGTGCTAGACATTGTTCTAAGTCTTCATGGATATTTACTCATTTAATCTTTCCGCGAATCTATGGGATAGGTGTTATTGTCATCTGTGTTTTATTTATAGAGAAATTGAAGCGGAGAGGAGAGAAGTCACCTGCCCAAGGTCATGAGGCTTGAAGTAGCAGAGCGGGATTTGAACCCAGGCAGTCTGATTCCAAAGCACCCATTCTTAGTCACCACAGATTAAATAGCTGTGCTTTTAACAGCTGCCAGTTCCATTCTGGGTCATCTTTAGAGGTAATTCACGGGCTACTGAGGATACTCAGTCTCAGCAGATTCTAATCTCCCTCGTTGATCCCAGATAGTACACTCCCATTCGATCACCTGCTTGGTTCTCTCCATTCACCTCTGAATGACCTGGAGCTATTGCCAGAAGACAGACCTGCCCTCAAAGGATAGAGATTTGCCCCATTGACAAAAAAAAAAGAAAAAAATGACGCCAACTCTAAAAGCATTTCCAAAAGCAAAGAGCTAGAAAGAGCACACAATCCTAGCCAGAAGAGAAGGGACAATCCGTGGATGTATCATTTGGGAATGTTGCTGAAACATTTGTTCATTGCCCCACAGTCTTGTTTGAGTTCATTGAGTTGTAAGAATTGCCTGAGGGCCTGAGGAAGCTTGAGCCTTATAGCTGAATTTGGGGAAAAGGAAGACAAGTAAGGAAGGTGAGGTCCCTGGAGGCACTTTGAGAGAGTTAGGGCCCCCTGGGCAGCTGCCTTCCTTCAACACATATTTAAGAAGCACTTCCTGAGTCTTAAGCACTGGTCTGGACACTGGGGATACAGGCGTGAACAAGGCAGATAAGGCCCCTGCTCTGATGGAGCTCATAGTTTAATGGGGGAGACAGTGAATAAACTTTTACAGAGGATAGTTCCAGGATGATATAAGTTCGCTGAAGGTTATAAACAGGTGATATGTGATTGGCAGCACTGGGACCTGAAGGATGAGAGGGAGCCAGTCATACCACAAGCTGGAGAGAAGGTACTTTGTGGCAGGAGACTTCACAAGCAAAGACCCTGAGGCGGGGACAGCTTGGTATGTTCAAGGGGCAGAAAGAAAGCCAATGTGGCTGGTGTCGAACAAGGAGGAAAATAATAGGATGTTGCTGTGTAATAAACCACTCCAAAACCTAGTAGCACAACAACAAATTATTATTCTCACAGTTCTCTGGGTTGACTGGGCTTAACTGGGCAGTTCTTTTGGTTTTTTTGTTTTTCCATTTTCTTTATGGAATTCCAACTGTACAACTTTAAATCCAGGTTCAACATCTAATTTCTTGGAATGAATAGCTCTTAGAATACCCACCACAGATTTGGTTGGAGATTTTTTTTTTAAATAAGTGAATTAAATTTACTCATAATTCCACTACCCATCCAAAAAACACTATTAGCATTTTGATGCGTATACTTGCATCCTCTACAAATTTTTACATACATGTACATACCTATACATATTAGCTTAAAATGAAATCATTATATGTGGATAGTAATCAAGTAATTAAGTATCTTTTCTGAAGAATAATTAATATCAATATTTACCATTTTGGTAAATATTGCTGGCAGGATTAATTCTAAATATATAATAGCATGAGATTTCAAAAAGTGGTTACTAGTGTGTATATTTGTATTTATGCTAATAGAGCTTTTTCTTTTTCTTTTTTTTACCATTTTAACTATTTTTAAATGTAAAATTCAGTGGCATTAAGTGCATTCAAATGGGAAGAATGGGATTGGAGGGTGAAGCTGTTTCTGGGCTCACTGCTCCCCTTCTGTGGCCTCAGTGCTCCATCTATAAAATGGTTCAGATTGCCCTCAAATTTTTCAGGAAGTGCCTGTAGGGCCTTTATGGGAAGTACTGATGAGGGGCCACATTGGAGAGGCTCATTTTCTCCCCACCACCTTCAGCCAATAACCCTCATGTACATTAAGGCTCCAAGTAAAGTAAAGAAGTTTATAGGCCACAGGTCTAGGTATATGAGGCTTAAGTTAGGCTACACATAGCAGATATCCCAAAATAACACCAGATTAATAAGAGTTTATTGTTTTCTTAAGTAAAAGAAGTACTGGGGTATGCAGTCCAGGGCTGGATGGCAGCTCCACAATGTTAACAGGAATTAGGCTCCCATCTCTCTGCTCAGTAATCCCAGTACTGGCTTTTATCCTCAGTGTCACTTCATGGGCCAAGACGGTAGATGAAGCTCCAGCAATCATATCCCAGGCAACTGGAAAGACAAAAGGGGCAGAAGAAGACATCTCATCTTTTTAAGGAGCTTTCCCAGGAGTCCATTATAAATCTTCTGCTTACATCTCACTGGCTAGTACTAAAGCACATGGGCCATACCTAGCTGCAAGAAGTACTGAGAAATGTCTTTATTTTGGGCTGCCATGTATCCAGCTGAAGATTGGGTTCTAGAAGGAGGGAATAAGAGGTGTTTCTTCCCCAGCAACTGATTTCTGAGGAATCTTCCAGCTCTGCTGGTTCTGAGTCTATGAATACCCTGGTACAACTTTAATTCAACACATAGTTATTACATATTTATTGTTGGAAGGCAGTGACCATCATGTTGAACCATTCTCATGGTATGGAGGTCATAAGTATTTGAGTACATGGCTTATCATTCTCCCAGGCTGCAGCCTCCCTAAGAGGATATAAACAGGTGGGATGTGATTGGCAGGGCTGAAACCAGACTGAGATCTGAAGGATGAGAGGGAGCCAGCCATGCAAAGACCTGGAGGGAAAACTAGTCCTTCGTGGCGGGGACATCAAGAGCAAGGCCCTGCCTTGTTCGTGTCCCTGGGTCTTCTGCACTCAGCATGGTGTTCATCCATTGGTCCCACAAATGTATGCTAGGCACGTAAGTGGATGCTGTGCACAGAGAAACCCCAACTTGCTGGGGAATCTCAGCAGCATAAGTGTGGTGGTGAAGAACTGCAGAGGTTCACCAGGCTCAGCAGCAGGAAAGCTGGCCTCCAGTAGATAGTGACTGGTCTAAGGGCCTGACCTAGGGTGAACAGTTGGGGGCAGGTGGAGCTGATCAAGCTTTCTTTCCAATCAAGACCCCTGTTCCCCCTTTTCTTTCCAGATAACACTTTCCTCCCTCATTAAGAGCAAATGAACAGATTAGTGTAGGCCTCTTGCTGCTTATTGGGTCAGAGGTGATATTGTCCCGCAGAGACAGTTCTGTGCTGGTCCAGATCCAAAAAGAGGGGACAGATATTCCAAATCTGGAATTCACCAAGGGTCAGCTGCAGGTCCTTTCCAAGAGGTCAGGGAGGGCATGGATCCTGACTTTATCCTAATGTTCCAGCCCCCTGGGAGATCAGAAAACTCTTGCTTTCTTTTTGAAATCATTTGAAATGGCATCTGAAAGGAGCTTAGCTAAGGGCCTGGCCCACAGTAGAAGCTCAGATAATATTAGTTTTTCCTCCTCTAATCCCTGACAACCTGATCTGATCTTTCTGGTGAGGTCCCAGAATCCCTCTCATTCATTCATTCTAAAAATATTTATTGTAGCTACTGTGTGTTAAGGCCTGTGCTAGGGGCTGGGAATCAGAAGAATAAACCATAGGCTCAGCTTTTGAGGTGCTTGTTGACTGGGGTGGGTGAGATAGGAGTGGGGTGTAGTAGTTAAGAACATAGGTTCGATCCCCATACCGGACAACTGCCAAAACAAAAAACAAAATAAAAAGAACATAGGTTCTGGAGCAGACTGCCTGAATTCAAATCCCAGCTCTATCAGTTTCTAGCCGTGTGACCCTAGGCATGTTATTTAACTTCTCTGTCCCTCAGTTTCTTCATCTATAAAATAAAAATAACAATAATCTCACCTAACAGAGCTCTTATGGATATCAAATGAGTTAATATACCTAAATTAATTGGAACGTTGCCTGTCACATAAGTCTCATAACCAATTCACTTGTATGTGCATTGGAACAGAAAATTAGAGTCCAAGATGAGCATCACAGAGAACTAGGTCATCAAGGAACACTTGTTTGATGCTTCCTTGGTGCAGGCCTTGGACCAGTGTATGTGGAAATAATGGTGAACAGGGTGCTAGGGTCCCTATCCTCACTGGCTTACAGTCTCATGAGCAGGGAAAATGGTTGCTGAGCACATCAGTGTGCAGAGGAGAAGTGGGACAGGGAGCCCTCCCCAAGGAGCTGAGGCCTGGGAGGGCAACTGACTTCGGAGGTTTGGAAGGTGTTGGCTGAGCAAGATGTTTGGGTTGGGGGTGAAGAATGAGCAGCATGTCCATTGCAGCACTGTTGTGTGAGTGAGTGATTGCAACAAGCTCACTATCCAGCAGGAAGGGAATGGATAGGTAAATTGCAGTTTTTTGTGCAAAATGGAAAACTTCAGGAAGCTAACACGACCACATGATCTACACAGTCAATATGGCCAAATCTCTAAAACATAAAGTTAAATTTTTAAAAAGTTGAACTAGGTTATATGCAATGTGATGGTGATGATCGTGGTAATGACGATGATGACGACAATGATGATGATGATAATATTGACGATAGCCAGAATTTTCTGAGAGCTTTCTGAGCACTGTTCTAAGTGCTTTGCTTCCTTACCAGCCAGCCACCAAAAACCAAAACAAAACATAAAATAAAATAAATGCTTTACTTGTATTAATCTGTTTAATTCTTTCAACAGCCCTCTGAATGGACATATTAATTGACTTGACTATACTAATCATCTAACTATGTAGTGTATATCAAAACATTATCTTGTACTGTGCACCTTAAATATATAAAATTTTTAAAAGGGAAAAAAAAGTAGCCCTATGAGGTAGGAACAGTTATCAGCTCTATTATACAGATATGGAAACTGAGGCACAGAGTAGTTAAGTCAACTGTCCAACTTAGTAAGCAGCATAATCAACATTTGAACATTAGAAAAAAACATTCTGGCTCAACAACCCATGTTCCTAATTATTATATTCTGTAAAAAGCCCTCAGAACAATATCCCCCACCTTTTGGGGAGGGGAATTTATACTCATTTGGTGAAAGTGTAATTATGCATAAAAACACATCTTCTTGGAAGGGGAAGAAAAGAAAGAGATGGTGGGATAGAACTTTTATTTAGGTTTTTTTTTTTTTTTTTTTTTTTTTGGTTTTTGGTTTTTTGGCGGCTCCAAACGCATGATCTTGGTGTTGTAAGACTGTGCTCCAACCAAATTTTTTAATCCTTAACAAAGCAAAGTATTAGTATCTGCTAATTTGGGTCATGGGTATATGGATTGTTGAACTATTTGCCTGTTATAGTTTGAAATATTTCATAATTTTTATTTGAAATTTTTATTGAGTTAATTGTAGATTCACATGCAGTTGTAAGAGATAATACAGAGATTCCATGCATCCCTTACCCAATTTCCCCCAGTGGTGACATTTTGCAAAACGATAGTACAGTATCACAACTAGCATATTGACATTGATACAATCTATCCATCTTATGCAGATGTCCTCAGTTTTACATGTACTCACCTCTGTGTCTGTGTGTGTGTGTGTGTGTGTGTGTATTTAGTTCTGTGCAGTTTTACCACGTATGTAGATTTATGTATCCACTACCACAGCTAAAATACTGAACAGTTCTATCATCACAGGGGTCCTTGGGTTGCAAGTTTATAACCATACCCACCTCCCTACACACACACACACACACACACACACACAAACACATGTACACACACCATCCCTAACCCCTGGCTTCACTAATTTCTTCATTTCTGTTCTCCATTTTATCATTTCAAAAATGTTATTATACAAACGGAATTTTATAGTATGTAACCTTTTGAGACTGGCTTTTATCATTCAGGAAAATTCCCTAGAGAGTCATCCAAGTTGTTGCCTGTGTCGATAGTTTATTCCTTTTGATTGCAGTAGTATTCTATGGTATGGATGTACCACAGTTTATTTAACCATTTGCTTGTTGAGGGCCATCTGGGTTATTTCCAGTTTTGGGCTATTATGAGTAAAGCTGCGATGAATATTTATGTACAGGTTCATGTGTGAACCTAACCTTTCATTTCTCTGGGATAAATGCCCAAGAGTATAATTGCTGGGTCATATAGTAATTGCATGTCTAGTTTTATAGGAAACTAACTGCCAAACTGTTTTCCAGGGTGGCTGTGCTTGTTTCATAATTTTAAGAAAAGGATTTTGGCTGGCAGAGGGGGGGTATTCCAGGTAGAGGGAAGAAGTATGCAGAGCTCTGAAGTTTGTAAGTGTATTGCAAGTTCATGGGACAGCAAGGTGTTTCATATTGCTGGGATGTAGTGTGGGTTTAGTAGAAGGATCACAGGTCCTCATTCATTCAGTCAACAAATATTTACTGAGCTCCTGCACATGTCAGACACTATTCTAGGCATACTGGAGGCACTGCCTTTAGAGGCCTGAGTCCAGCAGAAGAGACAGATGTGAAATAATTACAACGTGCATTATGTACAAAGGGAAAAGGAGTCTTAGAAAGTATGTTATGGGCATCTGCAGATCTCTGGTATATTCCATGAGGACAGGTACCACACCTGTCTTGTTCTCCCCTGGCCTTAGCACATAGTAGGCAATCAACAAGTATTTGTCAAATGTTGAATGAATGATCCAATCCAGTGTACATGGGCCCTGTGACTGTGACCTAGCCATTACCTCTGTAAGCAGCTGCACGTCCCAGTCTCGCCGTGTGGGTAAAAGGGCAAAGGCTTGGTCTAGACACCCCACCCTGGATTAAATTACTGCACCATAGATTGGAAGCCAGCATGACATTAAAAGGTTGGAATGCTCTACTGTAAATTTTTAATTGTTTAAACAAGCAAGGAGGGTTGTAAATTCTGTGCGGTAGGACAGTATTGCATATTGTGCCTATTACTGCCGCCAAGGTTTCTTATCAGCCCGTTGGTATTTCACAACCTCTCGTGCTTCTTGCATGTTACAGGGGCCCCTCTGCAGGGTCTCTGGGGCATGGTGCAACACCATCCTTTTTCCCGTGGGGGTTGCAGCCAGGCCTTCTATGTGTCCTCTGTCTGACTTCCTCTCATTCTGTCTCATGCCTAGATTTTCTCCAAAGGAACATCCGGTGCTCGCACTGCCAGGGGCCCCAGCCCAGTTCCCCGTCCTAGAGGAACATAGGCCGCTCCAGAAGTATGTGGTATGGTCAGACGAGATGGTGAACATGGGAGAGGCCCAGATCCGCACCCACCTCATCCGGCCTTACGTGGGCATTCATCTGCGCATTGGCTCTGACTGGGTAACTTCCCCCTTCGTCTCACTGGTTGACTTGGACAGTCCCTGAGCAAGACCCATGCCTGTGGGGATTGGCCACACGTCCCAGCCAGGACAGAGAGATCTCACTTGAACAAGTCCATAGGATTGTGTCCCATGGTCCTGCCGCAGCACATGTCAGAAATGTAACTCCATAGTGCAGCTCTCATTTGAACAGCTGCCATTTTTGTCCTCATTCTGCAGATTGGTAAACTGAAGTAGCAAGCCAGAGCCCAGGTCAGGCAGCAAGCCAGAGAGAGGCCCACAGCCCAGGAGTCCTCTGTCCCAGCTCAGTGTTTAGCTAGTAGACTCCTTGTGGAAAAACAAACTATGGAGATTGGGTGGGGCTCCCAAGAAGTGAAGATGTTATCCTCGGGGCCGGCCCGTGGCTCACTCGGGAGAGTACGGTGCTGATAACACCAAGGCCGCGGGTTCGGATCCCATATAGGGATGGCCGGTTGGCTCACTGGCTGAGCCTGGTGCTGACAACACCAAGTCAAGGGTTAAGATCCCCTTACCGGTCATCTTTTAAAGAAAAAAATAATAAATATGAAAAAGTATTATAAAATTAGAAATACCTGCTGTAAAGTGTTCCAAGGGCCACACTGAAGAATTTCTAGTGTATTCAAAGGGGGCATCACGTTAGCTGAGCATTTCACGGGTCTCTTTCTTTGAACAATTTTCTTTTGTTGATTTTGCTTGAAAATTTCAAACCAAGGTTTACATGATTTTATCCAAGCTAGTCTCTTTTCTTCAATATTAGACAAAAGTGTTGAATCTGGTACAGAGGAAGCTGTGATATTTCCACCTTCAGCTCTGTTTTCATGGCATCCTTCTGGAATTTCTTTAATGTTATCCTCCCAGAATTTGGAGGCTACTTAAATGTGCAGAAACTTCATCAGATTATCCTTTGTGTGAAAATAACAGAACCAGTATAGACAGTCTCCTTAATTTACATAAGATATATAGATATGTAGAAATGCTTATTGTTGAAAAATACCAAAACATATAGAAATTAGATTAAAATTCACAAATAGTTCATTGACGAGGTAATCTCACATTTACCCACTGGACCCTTTCCTGCTCCTATTCTACAAAGAAAAGGAGCCAGGCCCAGAATGTTTTCTGAGTGGCTTCAGCCAAACATCCAAGGAATAGATAGTCCCCATCGATGATTTCCTAGAAAATAAAAAGATATAAAATGCTATTTTTTTATAAAGGCAGTATAACACTAATACCAAACTCAGACAGAGTCAGCTCAGAAAATGATAGCCCATTCTCACTTATGAACATAGATGCACAGATCCCAAGTAAAATATTAGCAAGCAATGCAAACAGGTAAAATCTATTCCAGGAGTGTGATGAAACTCACTACATGTGCACCCAAAGAAGAAAAATCATATGATGATTTCAATAGAGGCCAAGAAAGCATTTGATAAAAGTCAACACCCATTCATGATAAAAACTCATAACCAACCAGGAGTAGAATGGACCCACCTTAGCTAGATAAAGACTATCTCTGAAACCCTCAGCAAACATTGTTACCTCATGGGGAGCTATCAGAAGTGTTCCCACTGAAATCAGGAATCAGATAAGGCTGCTTGTTATCACTGATCAGAATTTTACTGGAAGTCCCAGATAATGCAGTAAGACCAAGAAAAAAAATTTTTTTTGCAGAAAGCCCATAGTCTACCACCCAGAAATAACCACTGTCACTGTTCTGGTGTATTTCCCTCTTCCCTCAATGCTTTTTTAAAAAATGTAATCAGACTCCTCCTGTATAGCCCGTCTTTTTCCACTCACCAGTTCTTGCTGCTGGGGTTCCAGGGCAGTTGCTGGTATTTAACTCTCTTTCCCAACTCCTCCCTGTAGAAGAATGCCTGTGCTATGCTGAAGGACGGGACCGCAGGCTCACACTTCATGGCCTCTCCCCAGTGTGTGGGCTACAGCCGCAGCACGGCTGCCCCCCTCACAATGACTATGTGCCTTCCTGACCTGAAGGAAATCAGGCGGGCCGTGAAGCTCTGGGTGAGGGCACTGAGTGCCCAGTCAGTCTACATCGCCACTGATTCTGAGAGTTATGTGCCCGAGATCCAACAGCTCTTCAAGGGGAAGGTATGCATGGGCCAGATGGGAATACGGGGAGCAGGGAATGAAAGAAAGTGCCAGGGTGGTCCCAGTGCTTTCACTACCTGCTTCATGTTCTTCCATCACCAGCCTTTTTCGGATGTATGGTTCCTCTCCAACTCCTTCCTTCAAACCCCAGCTCAAACAACTCCTGTGTAGAGTCTTTGCAGTTTTCCCTGTACCCCGTATGTATCCCTACTGGGAACTCTCATAGGACTTTCACTTTTTTGGAGGCATTTTCTAGACTGTATGAGGCTAACGTAGAAACATGTCTTATTTCTTCCCAAGAGCATGGGCTCCTTGAAGGCAGGATCCAAAGCTGAGTCACATATTTCTTGATGACTAGCCTGGTGCTGTGGCCTCTTTAGGGGCTGAGACCCTGCTTTACCATCACCAGTGTCTGGAATAGCACCTGACACATAGTAGACAGTCAGCTTGTTGAATAAGGATGTAGAGTGGGCTCTGGGGAGACATCCAGTATAGCAGAAGGGTTAAGAGCATAGACTCTGGAGTCAGAGACTTGGGTTCTGTTCACTGTGCAGCCTTGCAAAAGCTATTTCACCTCTCTGTGCTTCTGCTTCCTCATCTATAAAATGGGACCAAATAGTACCTGTCTCATATGGTGATTGTGAAGATCGCTGTAAAGAAATTAAAACAGTCCCTACTGCAAAATATGTGCTTAATAAAGTTAACTATCATCAGTGGTAGAAATAGGTGCTTGATGAGTAAAGGGAAGGATCTTTTGTGATTGGTAAATGCTTAAGGAAACTGCAAATGGAGGTATTCAGTACATAAATAAAAGGTGGCATGTGCTTGGTAAATGCTTTACTGTATCAGTGAAGAGTAGATTATGAGGAAGTATATGTCAACGAAATGACTGAATTAATAGTAAGCATTCAGTAAGACTTTGTTGGATGAATGAAAACTGTAAATGCTGAGCAGACCTTAAGAGGCAGACACTTGGTACTGTTGGCTTTATGGCAAGGGGCTCCCTCTTACACGCCAGACACAGACAGGAAGCTCCAGCTTGTAGAGGAAGTGCTAAGTCAGTGTGTTCTCGTCTCCTGCCCACCCATTTAATGGATAGGAAGTCAGAGCTGGGAGACCTTGGGGGTCCTCTAACCTGGTATTATGAATAACACATGAATAACAGATGTTATTTCATGTTCTTTGAAAGATACTTTTTTTTTTTTTTGACAGCTGGCTGGTACAGGGATCAAACCCTGGACCTTGATGTTATCAGCACCATTCTCTAACCAACTGAGCTAACTGGCCAGCCCCAGCCCCCTACATTTTATAGCTGAGGAAATCAAAGTCCCAAGAAGGGACAGAATTTACCCAAGAGATCCCAGAGCCAATTATAGTGGCATGACATAGGGTGGGTAAGTTTCAGGGCATGGGTGGAATTGTTTGGGGGGTTTTGGACATGAGTTAACTGGTATTATTTCTTTGCCACAGTCCAAATAGCAAGATGAGGATTTTGTGACATCAGAAATCTCTGTGGAACAGCAAAGCACTTTCAGCCCCAGCCCTGCCCACACCCACCCCCCTACCTCTGTACTAAGTTGAAAATTTGGAGAGTCCCAGGGAGTTTTTTTTGTTGTTAGTTTTTAGTGTTGATGTATTTGTTACGCCTTGAGCCTTCTGCCATTTTCTATTTCCTGTTCCTGTGCCAGTCTTCTCGCCCTTCCCCCTTCCTCAGCCCTCTTCTCTTTGGGCTCAGATCCCACCCTTCCTCCTGCACTAAGACCTGCTCCTCCATTAAGCTGGGCCAGTGCTGAGTCAGCAGTAGTGATAAATAAGATGCTGCCCCCGTGCTCACATTCTAGACTCAGGAAAAAAGACTTTGCCGAGAACTACAGTATGTGCCACGAGAGAGGTTCAGGAACTTGGAAGGGAGGTGGGCAGGGTTCATTCATTCGCTTGTCCATTCAACAGATATTTGTAGAGGCAGGCTCTGTGCTGGGACTGGCCAGCAATGGAGAACAAATCATCACGGCTCCAGCACCAGTCAACTGCAGGAGATGATATTAATCAGAGAATTACAAAGGAGTGAAAACTACAAATTGGGGGCCGGCCCCGTGGCGCACTCGGGAGAGTGCTGCCCTGGGAGCGCAGCGACGCTCCCGCCGCGGATTCGGATCCTATATAGGACTGACCGGTGTGCTCACTGGCTGAGTGCGGTGCGGGCGACACCACACCAAGGGTTGCAATTCCCTTACCGGTCACGAAAAAGACAAAAAAAAAAAGAAAACTACAAATTGGGATGTATGCTCCAAAGTAGAGCAACAGGGTTCTGTGACAGCACAGAGCAGAGGACCCCAGCCTGGGCAGGGGTCCCAGGGAGGGCTTCCCCAAGGAGGTGCCACTTAAGCTGAGAAGTGAAGGATAAGTAGGAGTTAATCAGGTAAAGAGAGGTGCACTCTAAGCAGAGGGAACAGCATATACAAAGATCCTGAGGTGGGGGAGTCTGGTGGGTAGTAGCTGGAGCTCAAGGGATGATGGGAGGAGGTATGAAAGGAGACCTGAGCAGGGCCTTGTAGGCCACGCTCACAATTTGTCACTTTATCTGAAAGGCAATAGGGCACTACTAAAGGGCGTTCAGCTTGGGGGGCAGAAAGGACAGGGGTAGAGGTATCTCAGTTTCCTCTGGCTGCTCTGTAGTGAGCAGAGCAGGAGAGGCAGTGAGAGGACCAGTGAAAGGGCTGTTGTAGTCCATCAGGCAAGAGATGCTGGTGGCTGGACCTAGGGAGTGGAAATCCCTGAAGAGAAGTGTTTACTTTCAGGGAATATCTCGGGAATAGATTGGGGTGCATGAGAAAGGGAGGACTTCAGGGAGTAGAACTGGATGGGTGGGGCGCTATTTGATTTGGTGAGGAAAGCCTGTCAGATTAGGGCTTTATGAGAAATGCAGGACTTGAGCTGAGCCTTGCGAGTCTGGTCGGGATTTTAATGAGAAACAGGCATTCCTGGCAAAGAAAACAATACAGGCAAAGGCACAGAGGTGTGATTGGCATGTTTGGAGCTGAGGCTGGAGATGGGGAAAGGGGGTGGGGGTGGGCCTAGACAGCAGCTGGGCATCACTTCTCTCAGGCACTGACCCCATGACTTCATCCCCTCTGCTGCACCTTTTGTGCCTATAACTTCAGCCCAGGGGAAGAAAGTTGGTCAAATGGACTGTGGGCCCTGGCCAAGCCGGCCACCTTGGCCTGTGGCCACCTGGCTGATACGTTCTGCCCTTCCTCCTACAGGTGAAGGTAGTGAGCCTGAAGCCTGAGGTGGCCCAGATTGACCTGTACATCCTTGGCCGAGCCGACCACTTCATTGGCAACTGTGTCTCCTCCTTCACAGCCTTCGTGAAGCGGGAGCGGGACCTCCAGGGGAGGCTGTCCTCTTTCTTCGGCATGGATAGGCCTCCTCAGCTACGGGACGAGTTCTGATCCCGTCTGGAGCACATCACCGGTCTGCACTGGTCCCTCCAGTCAGGACTGGCAGCCAGAGGTGTTCCCAGGATTGCAAACTCCTCTTCTTGCCTGCCAGAGATGGAGAAAGGTAGAAAAGTGCCAGGGACTTCCTGGAGGAGGGAGACATGCCATCTCCCAGGGCATAGGACTTCCAAGCACCTAGGGAACCGGAGCATCTCTCCATCTCCTGTGCTTTCTGATGTTTCTCCTGGGAATTCCTCACATTGGCAAAGTAGTACAACCTGCCTTTTGGTCTGCCCTGCTCTAAGCAGCCTGGGATGCTGAACTCTCTTCTAAAAGATTTTTTATAGAGAAAGATTTTTTATTGAGAGAGATTTTTATAGTTTTAATACAAAGTCATAACCACCCTAGAACTTTCCCTCATTTTTAAAAATCAGTGAAGTCCATTAACATAGGTACCTAAAGTGCCCTTAACTGGATGTGGATGAGGCCAGGGCTGGGGTGGGTCTACTGGCCACTTTTCCAGGTATCCCCCAAAGTGGCCCTCAGACCCATCCTGACTCTGGCCAGAGCCATTGTCATCCACCACTTTTTAGGCCACTTTTTCTGGGGTTTGGGACATGAATACTCCTCCATTGTAAGCACTATACAAATGGTAATTCTCGATCATGGTGCTGTGCAGTGCTCTGCGGACAGCCAAGTGCTGCTCACACAGCATGTTCTTGGCAAGGAACACATGCCATGAAACCAAATAATCATGGTATTGCTGTCAGAGTCTTTTGGTAATTGGTAACCACTGCAAACCTGGTACCGCCAGGACATCAGAATGTATCACCAGGGGCCGGGGCTTACTGGCCTGGCAGGATCCTTCCGAAGGCCTCCGCTAAGGGGCCTGGTGGGTAGAATTTTGCCATTAGGTTGGTATTCAAAGCCTGTTCTTTCAGCCTTCGTCCTGGGGCTGGAGCCCTCAGACCATATTGTCACAAGGGAGTGTTTGCTAAGCCTCTAGCAACACAGAAGATGCCCAGGATCTAGGAGCCATCAGAATTCCCAGTTCAAAAGCAACCTTTGCCCCTTCCCATCCAGTGTAATCTCTGCCAATGCCATGAGGTTTAAAGTGTTATAAGTCGTAAATTTCTTTGTCTCTCAGATGCTGCAGTTTTAATAATCCATGACTCCTGAGAGCCTGCGATTTTTTTACCTTGTGTTTCTAAAATTCCATGTCTACTACCTGTGGATCTCTTGTCTGGCATGTGACTTCCCTCGGCCTTTGATCCTGGAAAGGTGGTAGAGCCTCTGCTGAGAGCTAGGTCCAAGGCTCCATTCAGGGGCTTGTTCTTTGATTACCTTTGGGAGGAAATGCTTTTTGTCAGGGGAAGACTGGGTCAGAGGTCACAGGCTGCATGGTATCAAGGATCTCAAATGCTAAAGTTGGCATTTGCTGCTTAGAGCTGCTGCCCAACTCTAAGCAGGAGAAACTGTACATAATGGGCTTTTGTATAAATCCAGGGTGGACTCTGAGAGATGGTTGCCTGTCCAGACTTCCTCTCAGGCCTCATCTAGGGAAAGGGCCACAGTCAAGGGAAGCCATGCACTGCCTGCCTCCATCAGGTTGTTGTGAGAGTGAGGCTCGCTGCTGATTTCATTCGAGTTTGTTGGCTGTTCACAGCCTTATGCTAAGTATACACCTTAGAGTCTAGGGCTCCAGTGGGCCATCCAAAACACCTTGATTAGTATCAGCAGTAATGACAGCTTGTGTTCTGGAAGAGAGGGTGCCAGAGTTCTAGTCAGATTCACTTGTTCTGTTAACAAGCACTTTACTCTTTGACCCAGTTTCCTCATTTATACAGTGGTGATAACACCAACTGGTTGTTGAAAGGCTCAGATCAGGGCCGGCCCATGGCTCACTCAGGAGAGTGCGGTGCTAATAGCACCAAGGCCATGGATTCGGATCCTATATAGGGATGGCCGGTTTGCTCACTGGCTGAGCGTGGTGCTGACACCACCAAGCCAAAGGTTGAGATCCCCTTACCAGTCATCTTTAAAAAAAAAAAGAAGAAAGAAAGAAAGGCTCAGATCAGGGCCGGCCCATGGCTCACTCAGGAGAGTGCGGTGCTAATAGCACCAAGGCCATGGATTCGGATCCTATATAGGGATGGCCGGTTTGCTCACTGGCTGAGCGTGGTGCTGACACCACCAAGCCAAAGGTTGAGATCCCCTTACCAGTCATCTTTAAAAAAAAAAAGAAGAAAGAAAGAAAGGCTCAGATCAGCTAAAGCATATAAGAGCACATTGTAAACTTGGAAGAGACAGTGGCATACATGTGGCTATTGATTAATTTGACTGCCTCTCATTGCACACCTACTCTGCCAGGCACTGTGCTGGCTGAGTGCTTTATGGGCATTCTCGTTTAGTCCCCAACTTAGTCCTGAGGAGTAGGAACTGTTATAATCCTTCTCTTTCTGCACAAGGAAAAATTAATGCTCAGAGAATTCTCATAATTTTCCCAAGGCTACACAGTTTGTGGTATTAAGCCAGGGTGACCTCCCAAAGCCAGTTCCGTTAGCCACCATATTCTGCCTGCAGTTCACAGAATGCACTTTATACTGTAGGTGCCATGGAGGACTCCAGTGGAGGAAGCCACCTTAGTTTCCACTGGGTATCTGCTGTGGGTCTGCTGCTGCCCGGATGTTCAGGAGGGGTAGGCCACCCAAGAAACAGAAAGCCCACATGAAGCTTACAGTCTCCTTGGGTAGTTATTTAGTTCAACACTCTTTTATTCAACAGTTTATTAATCACATAGTAGGTGCCAGGCTCTTTGCTAGGTAGTAGGGATGCAACAGAGAATCAAACAAAGTCTTTGTTCTCAAGGAATTTGCATTCTAGAAAGTGAAAGATATAAACAAATGTACCTTGGGAGGTGTTGACAAGTGCTATGGAAAAATAAAGAGGGTGGGAGGTGGGGGCTGTGCTGTTTTATATAAGGAGCCCAGGGGAGGCCTCTCTGAAGAGCTGCCATTAAGAAGGGAGGGAGAGGGACCGGCCCGTGGCTCACTTGAAAGAGTGTGGTGCTGATATGGCCGGCTGGCTCACTGGGTGAGCATGGTTCTGACAACACTAAGTCGAGGGTTAAGATCCCCTTACTGGTCATCTTTAAAAAAAAAAAAAAGAAGGGAGGGAGCACATTCCTAGCAGAGGAAACAGCATGTGCAAAGGCTCTGAGGCTGGAACGTGAGCCTGAAGAGCAGCAAGGATGCCAGCATAGTTGAGCAGAAAGCACAGCAGGCAAGGTGACACTCTTACAGCCTGGAGGGCTGCAGTAATGTCTAGACTTGGCTTTTAGTTGGTGAGATATGGACAGCCTTTGTAGGGTTCTGAACATTAGAGGATTATGATCTGATTGACATTTCTGAGGGACTCCTCTAGCTGGCATGTGGAAAGGAGGTTGGAGAGAGGAAGGGCGAAAGCAGAGAGAGCGGTGCGGGGCTATTGCAGGGATGCTGGTGAGGGGTGAGGGTTCAGCCCCCCTGGACTAGAACTTTGGTGCCCTCTTCTCCCAAGAGACAAAGGCAGAAATGCATTGAAAGTGGTGGGGAATGGTCAGATTCTGGATATATAGAATTATGTTTCAGTCTTTTTTAAAGATATAAATCTTTGCATAATTTGAATCATGCAGTATACAATTAAGTCCCGACTTTTTATTTAATAGTATATAATATTTTCCCTGTTGGTACATAGCCTGAATAAATGCTTTTTATTGTATAAAGTTCCCTTGAGGAGTTTTCCATAGTTTATCATTTTCCTATTATGAGACCTTAGTGTGTTCCCATTTTTCACTATTGTTATTTGAAAAATATCTTTATTTGTAAAGGGTTTTTCTTTATTCAAAATGCTCATCAAGATAAATTACCAGAAGTAGATTTGTTGGACCAAAGACTTTAAAAATAAAAGTTTTTATTATGGAAAAATGCAAATGTACATTAAAATGTGAGTAATAAGATGACCTCACAGTTTCAGCAATTATCAGCATTTTACCAGTCTGGTACAATTTACTCTTCCACCCCCAGTCTGTTTGCCGGAGTCTTTTAAAGAAAATCTGAATATGTTTTGAAGGAAGAGCTAACAGGATATGCTGACATACTGAATGGGAGGTGGGAAGGGAAGAGGAGTACAGGATGCTTCAAGATTTAGGGCCCATGCAACAGAGAGAAGTTGTCCCTAACCTACAGAGTGACCTCAAGGCAGTTCCCTTCACCTCCACATTACAGGTGCTAATGGTGGTCCAGGCAGTGTTTTTCAAATGGTGGTCTCCAGAGGTTGCTTATAGTGCTGATTGAAAAGGCAGATTCCCAGGAGCCACCCCAGACCTGAGCAATCAGAGTGTCCAGTGGATTGCCCAGGAGTCTGCATTTTCACAAGCACCTACAAGTGATTTTCATGCCCAGTGGCTCAAGACCAGCTCAAATTGTGGTCCTCTAAGTACATGAAAAGATGCTCAACCTCATTAGCCATCAAGGCAACACATATCAAAATTACAATGAAATACCAATTCACATCCACTAGGATGGCTATGATAAACAATTCAGGAAATAACACATGTTGGTAAGGATTTGGACAAATTGGAACCCTCATTCATTGCTGGCGAATTTCTAAAACAGTACATCTGCTTTGGAAGAAGTTCTAGAAGTACCTCAAAAGGTTAAATATAGAGTTACCACATTGCCCAGTAATTCCACTTCTAGTATTTGCCCCAAGAGAAGTTAAAACATGTGTACTTAAGTTGTGGTCCTTATACCAGCAACATAGACATCACCAGGGGGAGTTTATTAGAAATGCAGAATCCTCCCTAAACCTGCTGAGGATTAGAATATCTGGGGATGCATTCCAGGGATCCATCTTAAGCTCTCCAGGAGCTAAAGTTTGAGCAACACTGGTCTGATAGATGTAGGGATCTTGCTGTGTGGTCAGCCAGCAAGCAACATGGAAGATTCTGCAGCCCCTCCCTGGAAAGCCTTCCAGGTTCTACCAAGCATGGTCAACAAGGTGGCTTTAGGAGGTGCCTGGTGCTCAGTTTGTATTGATTTATGTCTCATGTACTCATGGGGAAATATACTAGATGATCAAACCTTTCATTGTTTCAGGATGAGGCCAAATTTATATAAGTAAACAAAGGGAATTAAAAAATTTTTAATTAAGTTCTAGTAGAGATGGGTTGTGGATTAGGCAGAAATGGAGAAGCGATGTTCAAAGGAAGCAAAGCTGGGAAAGGCTGTCCTAAACATCACAGATCTCCACAAGTATGGAAGGGAGGGGAGGGAAAGAGAGTAAGGAAAGAAAGGAAGGACAGGAAGGACGGGGGAGGAAGAAAGAAAGAACTGAGCTCTCATTTCCATTTTCCTTTCACTTCAAAGAAACTGAGTAATAATAATAATAATGATGATGATGATAAGCTTTCACTGGCCTGAGAATAAAGATCGCTTCCTCTCAGTTCTCTTTTCTCTCCTTAGTGGAGTTGGCGGAAAAAACCCACAGCCTGAAGGGAAATCCTGTGCTCTGGATTATGTTGTCAGAATTCATTCAAATTCTTGCTTGAAACCTGGTTTATTTCAGAGTTGGGACCTTTACCTTGAAATAATATTATTTAAGGGCAAGAAGGTTTGTTTTGTTTTTACATCTAATCATTTATTGATCGTCAGCCCAGGATGCCGGGCATAACCAGGTAAACAGTGAGAAGGGAAGGAAAAAGACATTTCCCAGAAACCTCCTTCAGAAGTGCAGTGACTCAGCAGACATGGGGAACAATGCCCAGCTGGGGATGGCAGCCTGGGGAGAGTGCTCCATCCCTCTCTGAAAATCCAGCTCTCGGACTGGCCAGTTGGTTAGAGCCTGGTGTTGGTAACACCAAGGTGAAGGTTCGGATTCCTGTACTGGACGGCGTCAAAAAAAAAAACCAAAACCTATCTCTCTTAAACAATTTGACATTCATCCTCCCCTCCAGTGTGGGGAATATCCTCCGCCTCCAACCCCCAACCAACAATGTACAAGATGGTTTAGGAGGTACAGGGCACTAGCAGAAGGAGAGAATTATTTTTTTCAGTGATTCTCAATCCTGCTAACAATGACAAAGTCTCAGGTAAGTGCCATCATGTCACTGTCTCCTCTCTGCCACTTGCTAACAATCTGTCCTTGTAATGGAGAGAGCAGACCTCAGAGTCAGACAACCTTAGCTCCT